ACCTCTGAGGGCCTGCATGGGGGGTAGAGATTACGAATTACGCAAAATTTTCGCCGCCAATTACGAATTATGTTGAAGCATCAGAGCTGATTACGACCTTACGATTTGTAGTTAATGTTCTATTACGAACAAGAGTTCTTAGATCTCAGACCTCCATGAAAATATGGGCTTGATATGCATAATTTACATTCAATAGCGTAGATCTCTGTCTGAGCTACCCACACAGCAAAATTCAGAAAAATACAATTTGAATTTATCTGCTCTGAAATGTTTCACCTGAAATCCCCTGCAGTTCCAGAACTAGATACTAGTATTTAGAATACATTTTAGTGCTTGTATAGTGTGAGCCAGAAAATTTGATATAATATGTAGTTTCCCGGCTAATCACTTACAGTTCAGCAATGTGAACATTGAAATGTCAGTAATTTGTATCCAGTTGGAGATTTTATTAATACACTGTATGTAAACACAGCAAACAGTACAAGCAGTACAGGGATTGGAGTGTTCTATACAGGAGTAGTGACCATTCATATCTGTTGTAGCAATGATAGCTGGGTCAGTATAATAACTTATCAATCTTTACATATTTACAATCTATATTGTATTATTGATAAATTATGTACATCATCATCATTATTCTACGGTGTTGTCATTTCTACAGAGGAACCCTCCCTTGACTGACTTCAGTCATCTGGTTGTGTGACAGTTCTTGTCCACGTAGGGTTCAGGTGTTGTTGTATGTTGCATGTCCTCCACTGTTTACGTGTACACGCTTACATGTACGTGTTGTCCTATAACCCTGCTAGTGTCCTGCTCAGCGATGGTTGGCTGTGTTGAAAGCAGTAATGATGTATTTCCCCTGGTCTATGTTATTTCCTTGCCGTGCTCCTTTATCTCCTCTTTCCAGTCTAATCTTCTTACTGTCTTCATCGAGTGTTGAAGTGGATGTTTCGCTATTGTACAGGTCTCACAGAAGTTTGATAAGTGCAGTGTCATATGCAAGTAGTTGGTGATGTAGTTCTTCCAAGATTGGTTCAAATTCAATAGTATTCAGAGCTTCTTTTGTATGTGATAAATGTTGGTTGAGAACTCTGAGCAGTGTTCACTGGAGGAATAGTTTCACATCAATGATGTCATGGTCAGAGTAATAACAGTCGATGACGCTGACACTGGCTTGTACACTTGCATTGATGTATACGTGATCCAACAATGATCCGTGATCTGTTGTTGGTCTCCTGACAACCTGACGGAACCCAAGAGCTGCCATTGTCTGTAGAAGTGGATGGGTGTGGTCGGCATTTGTCAGATCAACATTGAAGTCCCCAACCAAGACTGTTGGTGTGGTAATGTCCATCACCTGGAACAATGCCTGCAAATCATGCAATAGTGCACGTTGGTTGACTGGTGGTCTGCAGTATGCAACGCAAACCTGGATGGTGGTGTTTGGGAGCTTGATGTGGGTGCAGATGTACTCCATGGCAGATGGTGTGATGCCGTCGTCATCCAGACGGGTCATAGGTGAGCGTGACATTACCATGATGCCACCTCTATGCAGTTGCTGGGATGTTCGCCGCTCCTGTCGATGAATGTATGTCATTTCATGTGTGATTCTGTCGTGCTGTCCCAGGGATTGATGTGGCAACAGAAACGTTTCTGCAAAGCACAGAATGTCGGCATTCTTCATCGATGCTGTCAGTTGGAGGTCAAAAAGATGTTTCAGGTATGATCGAACATTTAGGAATATGAGACTGGTTGATGGGCCAGGCACAGTTGGTGCCCTCAAAGGGGCAAGCTTCTTGTTTGCCAACCGACTCATTTCTTCTGTGACCTTAGAACTGCATCTGATGGATGCTGCCCGGAACCCGACAATGTACAGATCTGCGAGCCTTCTCACCCGGCTGAACGCGACATATGCTTGCCCGGGCATGAAAGGGCCAGTGCCGGACATGCAGACAACTATGTTGTCTAGGGTTTTGCCCTGGCACTTGTGGATGGTGCACGCCCAGCACAGGGTGAGGGGGAATTGGCGTCGCGTCATCTGTACGTGGGTTCTGCCTTTCCAGACAGGGAAGGTCACTTCCTGCCGGTAGATGGGGACAGCACCTTGATGTGTGTGCTGGTACTGGCTGGATGCTGTTGCTTTTCTCCCAACTTGGTCACTGTCGAAGGCGACGAGTATGGCATGGGGTTCTCCGCGGTTTGTCATGATGTCTACAACGGTACCGCATGCACCGTTCACAAGTCCATCCGCCACATCGATGTTTACAGTTACCATGACTCTGGCTCCGACGGCGACACTGATCTCAGACCTGAGGCTGCCAGTTTCGGATGGTTTACTTGATGCATTTAGTTGTAGCTGGCCTGTTTGCCTGTCTTTGGTGTAGTCATGACATTGTATGTGAATAGTTTCAGTTGTGAGTTGTTGCAGTTTTGTTGTGTTATGTTCATCGACGGCTTTGTTGGTCGTGAAAACATGGAGAGCATTGTGAGGATACCCGGGGTCTGTGTTAGATGTGGATCTTGATTGGAGGATGACAATATCATCGGGTGTGCATGATGCTGTGCGCACCCTGTTCAGCAAGTCTGCAAATGCCTTGTCGTCATGCTGCCTCATGCTTTCCGTTAGCTCAACCATGTCGAAGTTGTCTTGCCAGAGCGACCCGTGCAGTTGCGCGTACTGGTCACGTGGTGGCTCGAAGACATGGTTTTGCAGGACCGGTTGGAGCTGATATAGATCCCCGACCGCGAGAATGCTGACGTTGCCAAACGTGGCATCACTGTGACCACCCATGATGTCTTGTAGCCTTCTGTGTATATGTACGAGCATGCTCGATCCGACCATCGACACCTCATCAATGACGAGAAGGCGGAGTTTGCTAAGACGCGAGCGCAAGGTGTTAAGCCTGTCAGACCCCAAGGCACGATAGTCACCTCGCTTGTTGATGGTCTCCAGCAGAAATGCTGAGTGGAGAGTGAGCCCATTGATGTTGAAAGCAGCTACCCCTGTGAAGGCAGTGAGGATTACTATGACGTCTTCTGGCTCAAAACAGTGCGCCAGTCTCAGTAGTCGTACTGTTTCAAAATGTACGATCTTGATGACATGGCTCTTCCCTACGCCCCCCGGGCCGCTGAGGAATAGACGGTATGTAGGGAGCGGCTTGTGCTCTTTCAGAGCGATAACAGTGGCCTTGCACCATTGTCTGTGGTAGTTTACAATGTTTCTCTGGTTTTCATTTAACGCGCGCATCATCTCTCGGTACTCTTCTAGTGACAGCAATGATTTGGTGGCCTCAGCTGTGTATCGGGCGTGGAGTTCTGCATGTCTGTCTACGTTGTCTTGGTTACGATTATCAGTCAGGTCAGCATTGTGCTGGAGGTCTTCTGCTCCGATGCTCCTATCGTCACAGATACCTTCTTCCTCTTGTTCTGCCTGTTGTTGTTGAGCTCCAGGACCGAGCATATCCCACGCGTGTTCTGGTGCTCCGATGTTATCCATGTTATCCATTGCTTCATCTAGCCTTGTTGTCTTCACTGTGTACAGGTCTTCATTGCGATCAATAATATCTTTTACTGCCTGATAGTGCTGTTCATATGAGTCAAAGTCGCTCATCAACTGATCCTCATTTCGCCAAGGGCAGTACAGCATAAGCAGGTGCCGGTACTTGGATTCGCCCTCCTCCTTCTCTTTGTGGAAGCGAATGACAGCTGGGCGACGCCGTTTGTACATGACACCTGGGGATGAAATGTAAGTGCGAGAATTTAGTTGGTAATTAGATATGGGTATGAACTTACAAAACAACAAGACAAGGGGATGGATTTACCTAAGTCATTGAGTCACTGGATGCGCTCATGCTTGGTGGTTGCTTCAGTTAATACGGACCTAACTCATGCAAATTTGATGAATAGTGCAAGAAGTCGGTTTGAACTTACCTAAGCCCTTCTGTAACTGGATGCGCTCTTGCTTGGTGGTTGATGTTTCATCTGGTGTACTTTCTCCATATGCCACGGCGTATGTTGCTGTGAACTCAGCGAGGGACATGGACTCCATCTCTGATGGTCGGGCAGCATATCTGTCATTGAGGCTTGTTTCAAATACGTCCTCATCCTCGTCCTCCATGGCGTCCAACACAGCTGAGGACTTCAGCATCGACACACGCTTCTCCTTTGCACTTGTGTTGATGAATTGCACAGTTCTTGAGGCCTTCTTCAAAGGGAGGGAAAGCAGCCGATAAGCCGCTTCCTGTGCGCTAACCTCCCGGTGATTTAGGAAGGTTGTGCCTAATTTGCGGAGTTGTGATTTGACGTCTTCATTTGCTGTCTCCTTGGCTGTTTTCCTCAATAACTCACTCATCGCTCTCTCACTCTTCATCATGTACGAGGTAACATACATGATGCAGGCATATACGTCCGTGATGAACTGCAGATCGATGTTGGCCTGCCAACTGTGGATGATGTCTTTGTTGTAGCTGTTTGTGACTTGGCACATGGGGTCACGTTTGAGAATGATGGAGATCCCGGACGTGGTTGTACTGAGCTCCTTCATGTACTCGTCCTCAGCCACTTCAGCTTTATGGAACAACTCGTCTAGGGTCATGTCTCTGGGTGTAGTCTTGTCATCCAGGTATGTTCTGATTTTCTGTAGGGCTTTGGTGCTTTTTGTGTGGATTGTGTTGTCATCAGTGTTATCTCGCACGCCTGGCCGGGCGATGATAGTTTTTCTACTGGGAGGGCGGGGATAGCTGAAGCGGCATCCACCATGGCGTCTGCATGATGTTGAATGTTTGTGTTGCTGGAACTTAGCCGAGTCTGGGGTCATTTCACATGTCTGGTACTTATCGATGAACTGGCATACCACGTCGTCGGGATCTTCATCAATCTTTGGAGCATCCTTTACCCATAGAAGTGTGTGGGCGTGGGGTGATCCACGTGCCTGAAGGGTCATAAGACAAGGGAGGTAAGAATGGAAGATGGACAATACACTTGATATGATTTTCACATGTGTACGTATGTAGGTCATCCTGTACTATAAAAACGTTACACTAATTTTCATAGTGACATTGCAAAGAAAAGTTAACATACATATGGGAAAAACCTACAAAAGATATAATGTAAGGCACCTGGAATTCCACCCGGATGAAGTAGTCTTGTATTTCCCCAATGGGATGAGCGGCACTGCAAATGAAGTCCGTGAAGAACACTTCAAGCCTGTGCTGGAATAGGCGTGCCACAGTGACAGGGTTCCTGTTCAACCAGTCGCACTTGTCCTGCCATGGCATTGCTGCAATGTCATCGGGGGTGAAATCCTGCCCATACTGCTTACCGATGCTCTGTATAATTTCCGGCCAATGCATGTCAGCAGCGGACAGCGTGAGGAACCAGGTTGGCGTTCCGAATTGCCGAACCATCGCAAGAACTTGATACAGGACTTTTTGCCAGTATGGGGGAGATCCGCGGACGTTTTTCAGGAACTTATACGCAGCGTCAGTTCTGAACCAAGCGGCGACGTTCGCAGCGTTCTTGACGACACCTGCATTGAGTGGTCCACCTTGCATCATGCGTCCCCTGGTTTGACGCAATGCTATGGACGCGTCGTCCCGTATCTGCTTTGCTTCCACGACGTACTGTGCAGCAAAAAGGTAATCGACGTCCTTAGCGAATCTTCCATCAGCATCTAGCAGGCGTTGGTTGAAGTATTTCCTAACTGTGAGATTCTTCTTCCGATGAATGGAATAGCCGAATCTCCCATCTGGATACTTTTCCGGGTTAGCGAGGAGTTCAAAGTCTTCGTCAGTGAGGAATGCGCGTGGACATTGGTTCTCTCCCGGAGCCAAGGAGTAGACATTCTCGTTATCCTGAAGGTTGTCCTCCTGCAGACATGTTGTGTATGGGAGACCTCTTGCTGCAGATGTTTCCTGTAATTTATAATATGAAATTGTGTATTTAATTCATTTCCTAAGAGACAAGTTTTGATAAATGATGTTTTGAAAATTTGTTAGTAGACAGTAAAACATAATTACCTTAAATGCGGCCTCGTCTTCAGCATCTTCTTTCTCCTGCTCTGTCATCACTGTGTTCTGTGTTGTGGTGCTGGTGGCGCTCACGTCCGCGCCTGTGCCCTGTTTTAAAACAACATATTGTGTATACAATTAGTCGATCACATTTAAATCTACATTAGGAACATTTTAAAGGTGTCTCATGCAATACCTTCATGATCATGGAGTATACATACAACTGTAGCTCATAATGAAGCTATACCTGAGACATAAGGTGAACATCTTCTTGTGTGTTACTTGACATCTTGTGGAGAGCCACATAGTGAGATTGCCCGATCAGTCCAATTGTAACAGTCAGTCGTTGGGATGTTATGCTGTGTGCTGGCTGTATGATAGTCATGCTATCGGGATTCAAAGTCCCAAGAATTTGAATCTCGATGTCCATCATGTCTGCCAGAGCTTGAATGGCCACATGATCAGCCCACGCACCATTAGCTAAACGATCAATGTATCTGTTCCATTTAGCTGTTTGTCTTTCCACTGGGTCGCTGATATGGGCAATGTCGAAGTCAACTTCTTCAGGTTGTTCAACATCATATCCCCCGACAGCTGGTTGAAGGTCTTCTACAGCATCAGGGATACAGGGCTGGTAACGCGTGACGTCCTTAGATTTTCGCAAGTATGTCACAAGTTCTCCTCGCATGTCATGTGGGGAGTCACTGTGCCTACCAGCTCTGTTGAGGACCAGATGCATTGCTGCAAAAAAGCAGTTCCCATCCTGAGGTACATCCTCCACCACATGTCCATGACTTTCCGCTAGCCTGCATGTACAGGGTGCAGAACAGGGTGCAAGAATGACGTACAAGTAAAAGATGCATAAGGAATGTACACTGTAAGAATGAGATTATTCACAAAAGAAGGCATAATTTGGTAGAGTAGCTCACCTGTTAATGTCATTGTCAGTGTCAATGGAGTCACCGTCAGCTACCTCGGGTGAACTGCTGTTGATCATGGCTTCCCAAAGGTCACTATCCCCATCTAGCCACTGTTGTTGCCAGTCCTCGCAGAATGTCACATCTTTGTACAGTCGGTTGTTTCTCTTCAACCAAAACAGGGCTTCTGTCACCTGCCTGGGTCTGCAAGCATGGGGAGAGATTTAGAGTTTAGTAAAATTTCATTCAAGTGATTTATCTACCAGAGTTTTATTTCCTCAAATAACATGTCCAAGAAGGATATTGAGTTACATGTTTCATGACTTGTTTTACATATACGTACCTTATGAAATCATACATGTAGTGTCCGGTGTAGATCAGCCTCCTCTTCAATTTCATGGGCAACACTTGGGCGTTACCGGGAAGCCGCGGGAGTAGAGAGCAGACATTTTCCAGTTTTGCTGGTACGTTTATTGCTGGGCCATGAATGGCCCTTTGCTGTCCTTTGGGGAGACCAACCAGCTTCATGAAGGGAATTCGTTGTGAGATGAGTCGTCGTTCCAGAGGGCGCAGATTTTGAAGCTCCTCTGGAATGTCAGCTAATTGAAGGCCGTTGGCCTTTGCCTGGGCTGGCATCTCCCCTCTGCACATGCTTGAAATGACACGTGTTGCAAACCCAGCTGCAATCATGGTACAGATTGTGGAATATGTCAGCCTTCTCATTTGCTGGTAATTTGCAGTATTTGCAGTTGTCCTTCTTGAATCGTACAACTGCCTTTCTAAACATCAGCCGGTGACATACGCAGCACACATATATGGGACCTTCCTTTATCTTCTTCTGGAATGCTAGTGAGGCTGACTCAATGGTAAGTGGTTGCAGAGCACGCCCCTCAGCTGTTTTGTTCTTGCCGTTGAATAATCTTCTCCTGCGCTGCTCAGGTGTTTCCTTGGCACGCCTTTCGCCGGCTTTATCTCTGTCCTTGGATAACCTTCTTCTTTTCTGCCCTGGTGTCTCATTGGCACGCATCTGTGCGGTTGTAATCTTGTTCTTAGACAACCTTTTTCTGCGCTGCTCGGGTGTCTCCTTCATGCGCCTATGTTTGGTTTCCTCTTTGTCTTTGGTCAACCTTTCCTTGCGCTGCTCAGGTGTTTCGTTCATGCGCGTCTGTGTGGTTGTTTCTTTGTTTTTGGACAGCCTTTTCTTGCGCTGCTAAGGTGTTTCCTTCATGCGCGTCTGTGTGTTTTTTTCTTTGTTTTAGACAGCCTTTCCTTGCGCTGCTCAGGTTTTTCCCTCATGCGCGTCTGTGTGGTTCTTTCTTTTGTCCTTAGACAGCCGTTTCTTGCGCTGCTCAGGTGTTTGCTTCATGCGCGTCTGTGAGGTTTTGTCTTGTTTTTGGACAGCCTTTTCTTGTGCTGTTCAGGTGTTTCTTTCATGCGCGTCTGTGCGGTTTTATGTTTGTCCTTGTACAGCCGTTTCTTGCGCTGCTCAGCTGTCTCATTGGCACGCATTGCTGCAGTTTTATCCCTGCCTTTGACCAACCTGTAAAATAGTGCATGTAAGATTGTGCTCGTCTTTATTACGTCTTTTCATAGCTTTTGTATCTCTGTGTGTGGTTAAGATCAATAAGGATGGATTGTCATAAATTCAATACGTTGGTTACCATGGGTATGTGTTCATCTATCTAAAACTATTGGATTTCGAAACCCTTTGGCGTCATTCCTTTAGCATTTCATTTTACAGATTCCTGTGCTTTCCCATGATGTTACTTGTAGCTTAGAAGATAATTGACACAATCATATGCGTATTATATGTATATGTGTAGAAAAATGTACATAACTATTCGTAGCATTATAAAAATTAGCTGCGGACTTTTATACACATAACAAAGAGAGGAATCTTTATGCAAATAAAACATTCATTAGCACAACCAATACAAAATGTTATAATACCATTATAATAGTAGAAAATGGTAGGAATTGTATCCTTATTGCTTTCGTAAGTTGAATACGAGACTACATAAATCATGCAATAAGGGCACATTCACAGTAGATGAGAAAAACGTTACAACAACCGCAGTTGGACAACTTGTGATACTTTTGATCATCAACTGAATTTAGTTCATGAAAATAAACTCATTTCCTAGGTGAGTGAGAAACCCCTATGATGCACCATCGTAAATATGGCGAAGGCATGAGATCGTTGAACTCTCACTACCGTTATGATAAATGATGATCATTTTATAGCTCCATAGTGTTATCATACATTTACTAAGTTTCAACACTTCCCTGATATTCCTCTGCTCCGCTGTTTCCTGTTTCCGCTTAGCTGCCATGCGTTCTCTGTTCTTCTGCTTGCGTATTTCCGCCTGCTCAGGGGTCTCTTCTGCCATAGCCTATAGTGTAGAACAATGTGATATTCTATCAGAAAAATATTTTTTTCGATACGACTTGATGGAAGGGGGTATGGAAAAATTATCTGATCAGAGGCCATGAAAAAATAAATGACTGATAAAATTTTGTATCCGACCCTCCGCTGACCAACCCAACCCATACATCCTGTACAGTCCCCAGTGCAATTACACGACTAATCATCACACATCAAGACCATGCATAAGCTTTTTTTTCAACAATTATATCATTGGTTGGTTAATCAATAAATGATATATATATTATTAATAGAAACAATTCCAGACTTCCCAGTGCATCCCGTACAATGGCATTATTGTCTGGAAACACAGCGTAGTTTATCGCGATTTACCATATAAATTGAGAAGAACATAATTTAAATCGTCAAGTTAGAAAAGATTGTGTGATATTGATATACCATGTCGGTGATTAAGCATCTAAACTGCTACAAAATTAAACGTCCTGCATTATTACACAAGACTGTGACAAGGTGACAACATGTCGCTGTTCTTCCCACTACGGGTCCGGGAAATACCCTTTAGGTCTATGAGAAATATTTGTGACTGTTGTCCCCAGAGAAATTTTGATATTTCGTACCTTCTTTTTACGTTTGCGATCCTTCGCTCTGCGTTCTTCTGATGGTGACCGTGGCCTCTTCTTATTCACCATGGTGCCTACAAGTCCCAGGATTTGAGAAGTTGAAAATTTCTCGTGTGAACAAAGGACCCCCGTTTGCTAGCTGCAACTGGGGCACGTATATTTTGGCTGATGCAATGCTGCGCAAGGGACACATCTGTCGAGCAGGCCTTTGTAACGAAAAACACGTGTGGAGCAGGCAAGCACCGGCAAGCACAGGCGCCCAGATGATTAATTGACCTCCTCACCCGGGACCAACTGAACGGAGGCATATCCATTACCACCTGACCTAGTTGGGCCAAGCAGTCCGATTTCTCTGACAAACTTACCAGCTGTGTTCTGTAAACACAACTGTCATTCTGTATTGTACAATTTGTATCTAAATTGGTCAAATGGTAGTACTATCCTTCATCTCTACAATATAAATTTACCTCCACTCATCACAATCTATCCAGACTGACTTTATGTTAACCACAATTATGGAAAAAAGACTTTTAGGGAACAATTGCATTTTTAATTATTTAATTATTAATTAATTATGCTAAATATCATTATTTTTAATTAGTGTCTGTTAAAACTTTATCGGAACAGATTACATGTGTTATATGCTAATATAGTCCCAGTTTGTAGTAGAGCACTGGTATCAAAAACTTTCCACTTAAGTATGCAAATGAAGTTCTAATCTGCATAATTTGCAGCTGGTTGTGGACACCTCTGTCTAGACTACCTATATGTCAAACATAATGAAATCCCGTTGTTCCTTTCTTCATTTATCTGCTTTGAAAAATTTCGCCATAGACTCTCCTGTAGTTCCTGAACAAGCTGCTAGGGGGACCACACCCCCTCCTCTTGCTCCTAACATGAAGATCTATCTGCCACCAACAAATGAACACCATAGCATGTCCAGGATAAAAGATACAAAAACCTGATGTTATGCTGCAGTACCAAGGTCGGCCACCAGGAGGCCCATATTTGACCTTGACCGTTATTAACATAGTATATGCATAGTGTTGTTAACATTTAAGTAACCTACATGTCACAAGGTACAGAATTGCCATCATTCACCATTAAGAAATCATATAATGTTTTCGCAATAATTATGCAAATTAGGTCATCATTTGCATAATTGATATCTGTTGATGTTCTACCTGCCATAGATTACATATATTACATGTATGAAAGTACTATAATGTAATTATAGAATTTCCTCATTAATTATGCAAATTAGGTCATCATTTGCATAATTTGCATTTAATCGTGTACATCTCTCTCTCAGCTACCTACCTACCAAAAATGATGAAAATATGTTGTTCCTATCTGGACTTATTGGCTTTTAAAGATTTCGCCCGAAAGTCCCCTGCAGTTCCAGAACAAGCTGGTAGGGGGACCAAACCCACACCACTTATTTCTGACAGGAAAAGCTATCTGTTACCAAAAAGTCAAGACCATAGCATGTTCAGGACAAAAGATACAAAAACCGGAAGTTCTGCTGCAGTACCAAGGTCATCCACCAGGAGGCCCATATTTGACCTTGACCTTCGTCTTCCTAAGACTTACCAACATACCAAATATCATCACAATCCATAAAGGCGTTCTAAAGTTATGATGACCACAAAGTTGCGGAAACACACACAGACACACAGACACACACACACACAGACAGACACACAGACAGACGCGCCAAAAACAATACCTCCATTTTTCATGGAGGTAATTACGTTGTTTTTTTGGGGAGGCTGCCTACTGATTATGAAGACTAAAAAGGCCTGATTACACCTTACGAAAAAGGGCATGCAGGCCCCC